TTTTTCTTATCTGAAAGCATACTATTAAAGCTATCTTCTCATATTTTATCTCAAAATTCTATGGTGTAGTTTTCGTTTTATGGCAGAAAATTGGGTTTTCCATGCATAATCTATACAAAATCTGTTAATTTTGAACAACCTGTAGCGTGAAAATAAGCCCCGTGACCCATTCTTTTTATCATTTTTTTTTAAAAAGCTTGATATAAACTACATTTTGGCAAATTATTAAAAAATTCTATGGATTATAATTTAGACACCCCATCTACCTTAATCTGTTATATTTTATTCAACATATGCCAACATTTTTTCATATAATTTTATACCTAAATTTCAAAATGTTGACATAGGTTGAATGTACCATACAGAGGTAGGTATGTTTTCTCTTCCGAAAAAGTCTAATGAATATTTAGAGTATGCAAAACTATAGAGTCTGAGAGATAATTTGAATTTGTGTTTTATAAAGAAATGATAGCTATTATTACCGCTAATACTTTGGTTTTGACATGGTCTTTAACATCATTGTTGCTAAGGATAGAAAATAATGAAAAGAGTTTACTCCAGCAAAAATCTTATATTAAAAAGTTCAAATCTTTGCAAACATTTAAAAATAACAAAAACTGTTGTAGTCAAATAGAATAATAACACAAGAGATCATGTGATATTGCTCAATATGGGTTACTTAATTGTATAAATTTAAATGCACCAAATTAAAAGAAGATTCAATTGAACTGTTATTTAAGTAGGTGATTACAGTCGTTCTATAGTTAGTGTGACAGGTCAGAGCTCTAGGTCATGGTCAAATTTATCTGATATACAAGTTTTAAAGATGGAAATTTAAATATGCTTTTTTTGAAAGATTATATTCAGCAGTGCCTCTGAGATACGGCTTTAAAGAGTTGAATAAAAACAAAACTTTAATAAAAGGATGCACAACGATAATGTGTTTTGGAAAAAAATTAAGTGTCATAACATTTGAATTACGTAATTAGCGCATCTCGATCACTTTTGATAAAACAGTAATGGATTAATGTTACATCGTTGATTTTTAATATTTAGAAGTGATTTGTGACTGTTATGCACACTTACGTATAAGCAGAGACATCTGTACGCATTCTGGTTTAAGTTTGCTATAAACACACTAGAAATCTTATTTATTAAAAGTTATTGTTTTAACACGTAATATCATTTGAGGTCAGCCAAACACCAATTCAACAACAAGGAGTGTTTCCACAGATCGCATAAGGTATTCAACTTGATAAATCAAAATTTATTTCAAGAAACGTTTTGTAATTTTTTGCTATAAACAAACCTGGCCAGTAAAATATGAGCATTATTTTATAACATTGAAAGTTTAAAGTTGTTTGTATAATTGATTTTACATTTCATTTATTTCAGCTTTCTTTCAAAGTTTCTTTCGCTGGGTTTATTTTTCTTTTAGCGGGTTTGATCTTTTTATTGTGTTCAATAAGTAATAGTAAAATTTATTTCCACAATAATATTGTTTTTGTTTAGGTATATGAATTCCTAAATAACACTTGGAAATCAATTTTGATCAATGAATTTGTCACCATTTAACTTAGTTTGGTCCTGAATATGCATGAAATGCTTGCAACTGAACATTAAACAAACGGCAAATATCCACCAATCCATCTGCAATTACGCTATCCTCTGTTACATACCTGTCATTTTGTCACATGCTTGAATAAATTTCGTGTTGTAAGCCGATTTTGTCCTACATTTGAATTGTTCTTGTCCAGTATTACATTCCTTCAACAGGTTTAAATGTAAAACTAAATCCTATAAAATTAATTTGGTGCATTGGTTCTCTGAAACGCAATTTTGTACATTTGAGCGTGTCAAACCCCTCATGTAGTAGTGTGTTCGGTATGTACAAACATATGTAGTAGTGTGTTCGGTATGTATAAACATATGTAGTAGTGTGTTCGGTATGTATAAACATATGTAGTAGTGTGTTCGGTATGTATAAACATATGTAGTAGTGTGTTCGGTACGTATAAACATATGTAGTAGTGTGTTCGGTACGTATAAACATATGTAGTAGTGTGTTCGGTACGTATACACATATGTAGTAGTGTGTTCGGTATGTATACACATATGTAGTAGTGTGTTCGGTGTGTATAAACATACAACAAAAGTCTATGTTGTAGTCAGTGATGGTTTCATTTCACATATTTTACAATTCAGAGGAAGGACGACACTCTGCACACGGCACGCAGATTTGTCTCATATTATCGATCGGTCGCAGTTTGTTACAAGCCCGTCATGGTGTGAACATCACCTGGACGCTCCAAATTTGTTGAATGAGATTATAAACATGAGCAGTAATATACAGTTGTAATTATTATACAATATTCCTACATGTATATATAATGAACGAATTTGGTAATTGTCATTTTTTTTTTTTGCTGGGGATATACATATTTACCCGTTATTAAGCTGCTAAATCCGGTGGACTTTTATCTTACGGCATGTACATAATTGAATACTCGTTTATTGAATCATTTAATTGATTTTCAGTTTTTATTCGAAACATAATTATATTAATAAGAAATTATTAATAAAGGAATTTCTTCATTTATCAGTTCCAAAATTAAAAAAAAACAAACAAACGAGAAAACAAAATAGACAAGGGACTATATTAAGTCCTAGAGCCGATCGATACACAAAAAATACAAATTAAAAGAATAAAAAGTTATTTTACATGTTTTTTTCATCTATTTTCCAATAAGTTCCATAATAAAAAAATATAAATACAGTTAACCTTTTTTTAATATTTTAATGATTTTTTAATAGAAAATCTTAAAAACATAAGAAAGTACAAATAAAAGGTAAAAAATAATTCAACAAAAACGATAAATTTATTAATGTAACTTTATTTCCTGTTTCTTTTCCTCCTATATTCATCAATACGAAGGTAGGACAGAAATCACACACAAAAAAAATTGAAGGAGAAGAAGTCACAAATTAGTATCTATATAATTTTTTGGCAAAGATCTAAAAAAAAAATCTTCTTCAACTTTTACATATTGAAAACATTTGTAGTGAACCATCAATAATTTTTCTAGGGAAAAAAGAATATCAAAAGGACTTATTGACTACCTTCATGGCACCAATACATTGTAAATATATATCCTTTGTATGGTTCAAAATAATATAACCTCTATCCAAAAATGCTAATATAAAAAATAAGGAGATGTGTGGTATGACTGCAAATGAAGCAACTATCTAGCAGAGTTCAAACAATAATAAAAGGCTCCGACATGAAACATGTGAAATAATGCAAACTAAAAAAAACTAACGAAATAATCTATACAATACAATTTACGGAAAAGAATTATGACAGAGAACCACCAACTACACACAAATAAATTTTGAAAATCTGTCCTGACAATGTTATTACTTTTAAATTTTATGAATTATAACAAATTTTGAAAGTATTTGGTTTATTTTAGAACTTACAATTTGTTGTAATTTTATTATTGACAATGATAGAAGAAAACTAAGAGTTTCATTGTATATCACCAGAAAGTTGAAAAAAGAGAAAAATACAGTCACTGATGTTTCTCATATTGCGAGTTAAGGTGAAATTGTTTTTGTTTAAACGTTTTTATTTCTATAAATATCAAGCCCGATACATTCTCTGCTATGGATAAATGTTGTTGGTAGTTTTGTCAATGTCTCTATTTAAGCTATTGCTGTTTTTTTTTTAAATAACTACATACATTATTTTGTCTAGTAGGATTGCGGTCTCGTTGATTTGTACCTTTATCTCCTCTTATTCATATTCATTTCCAAATAATGTTGGTGACATACAATTTGTCAGAGATTTTGATAGGAATTCGTATACAGTCAAGGAAAATAATATATTTGAAATCCTTCCATGACACAATAATGCCTTTAATACATATTGTTCTAATTATGCAGTCAGCATTTAAAAGGATATTAATGTTTATGTAACAGCTGAATAAAATTTACGGTATTAAAACGAAAGAATCAAAGTGTACATAAATATTGCAAAAGAATATTGTGTTTTTACAACACACACGTAAAACTAAATTTAAAAACTTACTTATCATTGCTTCATGTTTTACTGGATAATCAGAGTTTTATGGAAGTTGCATGTTGAGTGCAACTTTAGATACGAAACCATATTGATATTTTGTAGAAAACCTGCTTTCTGCAATAATTTAACATAAATCCTGTATTATCAATAAATTTCAATTTTTCCAGGAGAAAAACCATTCAAAATGAAAAAAAAAAATGTTCCCGTCGTAAAATATATGTTCCAATGGGAAGAAAAATTGTTCCCATAGGAAGAACAAATTTTTCCCTTTCTGCACCCATTGTATAAAAAAAATTTAATCAACGTGTGGTTCATTTGATCTCAGTTCTTCATTGGTTAAAATCCGATTATGACGTCGAATTTTCTTGCTTTCCTTTGAATTTCCTATTGAGACGGCATGAAAAAAGGCGACCATGCCTGATGACGTCACATAGAAAGAACAGATCTTTTTGCAGTTATTCAAAAAGAAGGAATAAGTTTGCCTGCATATTGTTTGAAAATCATTAGAGAAACAGATTCCACCACCAAATCTCGTGTAATACGATATTTATCCACTCTCGACAGTTAAATTTTAAATATTTAAAACGCTCGGCGAGCCTCGCGTTTTGAATTTGAAAATTTAACTGTCTCGAGTGGATAAATATCGTATCACACTCGATGCAGTGGTAGAATCTATATGTATGAGACAGAAATGACGTATATCAGTTTTATATAGGAGCACGAAAGATGGATGATATTAAACTAAATATATTGCACCACAGGACACATACGAAATACTTCAAATAAAATGTACCAAACAAACACGATACTTACAAATCACACAAGAGTACTACATATCTTAAAAATGTTGAAATTATTTATATATAAGATTTACTTATACATGTTATACGTGATGTAAAATATTTTATATTGAAAGATATTGTCAGAACAACAGGATTCCAGAAACGTATAAAAAATGTCCTTGTTGAATTATATCTTGATGGCTGTTATACTTCTCTTTGCTGTGTATGCATGTGACAGCTATTCTTTTCACCAGGGTAAGAATTAATTTATAATTGAAATAGATTCAACTTTATAATGTTTCCTTTCCTTTTTATTGAATATAAGTGGCGTCCGAAGAAAGGACTTCGATTATATCGGACTCATCAGTTAAACTTATAATGAATACATTCGTAATGGACGATGGGACATGTTTAAAATCATTGTTTTACTAGTTGAGATTTTTTATATGCGCCGTTTCTACCCAAATGAAAAACAAAGCAATAATAATTGCGCCGAAGAAGTACATACCTGTTACTTAAGTTAAAAACTATCCGTGAATTGAAAAAAAAAGGACAAAACGAATACTCTCTTTTGCTGAAATACCGTCTGTTCAGAAATAATGTTTAAACTTTTCTTTCGATAGTCCATGTCATAAAACTGATTTATGGGATTGTAAATATTCTACTCCAAGTAAAATAAATCAAGTAAAGTACACATATTAGTTTTTCTCACGCAACCAACGAAATTGTATACTGTAAATGTGAATTCAGTTAGAATATCTCTTCAGTTAGAAACAATCTTGGATAAATGGTATGCTACTAATCTCGACGTCATGTTACTTGTTTGTCATACAGATCCTTGTTTCGTGGATCGATATTCCAACATTATTATTCAGATGGATACAAATTGTTCACCTCTTCTCGTCGAATCGATCTTTAACTCATATGAAACAAAATTGATATAACACTTTATAAGTTACAAAAAGAATATGATTTTGATTAACGATTTTTTATTTGATTGCATATTATGTACAAGAATATTACATTGGGGTATTTGTGAACATAGTAATCTCCAAATATATGCAGTCAGAAAATGGTTAATTAAATAACTGCAAGTCTAAGTCTCCGTTTTAAATGCAAATCCTATTAAAGGTTATAATTTTATGCAATGCTGTCAGTAATTAGTTCTGCACATCTACATTCTTTATCGTAAACCCAATTTTCATGAAATCGCTTTCATGTATATTATCCAGATATTTTGTCGTTCGAATTTAATAACTTTTAAACAAATACATATAACGCGTTATTTATTGTCAAGATGTAAGTTCATTCCCCCGATTTTTTTGCAAACATGAAATTTTGAAAATAAAAATGAAAATGAAAGAGGACACTGGCTACCTTTTGACTATTATATTAAGGAAATGCTTGTCACTTTCCGAAGTTTCTCTCTCTCAAAAATAGTACATTTGCTTTTTTATAGAGAAGCCAAATATATGATATTTAAACTTTGTTGAAGCTCCAACTAGCCTTCAGGGATAGACACAGCTTCTTCGACCTCATTTTTTATTGTACATATGTGAATTTTCAGTTTTATTGTATATTCAATTTTTTTTTATTCGTCACAAACTTACTGTTCACAATTAATATGACAATAAAATAACTTAAATAAATTTCAAGATTATCTTTAAATTTTGGAAAAACACGTCATAAAAGATAGACGAGAGATACCAAAAGGACATTGACACTCATAAGTCGAAAAAACTGACAACGCCATAGCAAAATACAAAGAAGACCAAAAGACAAACAACAGTATATATAATAGACAAAAGAAAACTAAAGTCTGAGCAATACGAACCCCACCAAAAAATGTGGGTGATCTTAGGTACTCCGGAAGGGTAACCAGATCCTGCTCCTCATGTCGCAACCGTCTTGTTGCTCATATAAGTACAAATCCGGTGATAAGTCGAATTTGGTAGGTCACATTAGGGATAAATGGGACGGGATTGTGGTTACAACAATAAGAACATATTCGTCGTCATCTGTGAAACACATCGGTCAACTAGCTTGTGATGGCGTCCGTAAAAATTTCGAAGGGATGATTTCAACTTAACCACTTGGAGCTCTTGGTTTTATAGCTGCCTTGTGAGCATCAACTCTCTATGAAGGAAAGCATGGTAGGAAAGGCAAGCCCTGTAATATCGAATCAACTGGGAGATATATACTCTATATGCAGGTGCTGCTCAAATATTACTACGTATAAATTGAAAGTTCACAATTGGGAAGCTGAAATCATCTCTTATGTCGTAAAGTGTTGTTCTCAATGCAACCGACTCTCATTATCAATTTATAGATTTATGTCATGATATGAGACAGACTTAACTATATCTGTTGTATCGTTTATTTCAAGTTCGACGGGATCGATGCGTTCTACAAAGTCACCACATTTTTAATTATTTATCTCATTCTATTTAAGAAGGTCCTGTATGAAGTCAGTTTTATATGTGTAGGACTCTAAAGTGCGATGGGGACGCTAAAACGCGATGGTCACGCTAAAGTGCGATGGTCTACGCTAAAGTGCGGTGGTTTGATACGTAAAGTACGATGGTCTGTGTTATTAAATGGAACACGCTAAAGTCCGATGGCTCAATACGCTAAAGTGCGTTTTCCCGACAAAAATGGAAATCAACAAAAAAAAAGCGGATTACCTTAATAGTGACGATGTGTATGAAACACTTTGAAAACCATATTTTTCAGTAGTTCGGTAAAATTAATTGATAAAGTAATATAAACTTATTGTTGCTTGTTGAACGTAAAGTGGTAAATATCACATGCATATACAGGACGATCATACGCATGATCATTTGATCATTTATTCTGAAATAATTTTAGTATTTCTACTATTCATGTTAAGGTTACAAAATATAATTTAACTTGAGAGGAAAAGGAGATTCTGGAGATGGCTCACTTGGATGTTGAGGAATTAAATTCGTCCAATTTTAATTTAGCAGCTTCTATGTTTGTAATCAAATGTTATGAACTTGCGTGAAATAAAGTCTTCTTTTTACTTTCTAATGGAATCATTCTATAAAACATTTTTTTACAATATGGTTCGTTATTTCTGTTAAAGATATGGATATACGTTAACTAGACAGTAACCTAACGACCAGATAGACCAAATGTCATTAATGTAAGCAACTATAGGTTACCGCATGGCCTTTAACGCGGAGCATTGGCTATCACCGCATAGTATTCTAACTTCAACGTATATACTAGCAACTGCAATGTACTCATTACACTTTTTTGACAACTATCGTACTTTGAACAAAAAAATGAGACACATATATACCCAGGACCAAATGTCGTTGATATATATACAACTAATAACTACGGCCTTTAACGTGGAGCCTTAGCCTACGCCGCATAGCAATCTTTATATTATATATACATAGGGCCACACAATGTCCAGTGTAAACCAAATAAGAAGAGAAAGACAACGGCTTGATTAATAACCATAATAATAAACGAAAAACTACAATAATAGGAACACAGAAACAAACGAAAACCATTGCCTGAACCCCATTCCCGTTGACAATAAAAAAATCAAGCATCTTGATAATGTCAGTTTCAGAGAATTGTTTGTTTTAATCAGGGTGATATTTTACAAAGTACGATTTATTCCTCCTTAAGACAACGTTGGCCATTCTTTGTTATGACTCAAAGCAGTACCAATTCTTTTAATTTTTTTTTAGGTTGGAATTGGGAATACTTGTGTAAAGGGTGGAAAAGTCAAATGATTTAATACTTTTGCAAGATGAAAGAGCCTTAGGTTGCATGCAATTTAACAGATCTTTGGAATTTTTAAGTATCCACATATGATTAACGCTGCCTCTAAAATAGGTAGTTTCAAAATAACTTTGAAACCCGGCTTTGATTGCTGATAACATTATTGTTAATAATGACGAAAGAGGTTTTATAGAGCACTTGAAAGACCCAGCAATATAACGTTGTTTGTAAGGACACTTATGGAATTTAGGTAGCCAATACAGTAATCAAAGATCCAGTTTTTCATATTTGGTTGACATTCCACAGGAACATAGAACAGATCTATGATTATCAAGGATTTCCTCCTTGGTTAGAGTCGTGGGTCTATATGTTGAGTTTCGAAGTGAATTGTTAATACCTAATTCATTTATCAAACAGTTTGTGTAATGTTATTTGCACACAAAAACGATGTGGTATTGGGCTTTGTGTGCTGGGACAACACCATATTTTAAATTTGTAAAGACCCAAATGTTGCAAAACACTTGTCCTACCTCTATGACAAATATGTTGTTGTCCCCGCAGGTAAAGCCCCAAACAACATCGTTTTGTGTGTAAATATCATTAAATAAACTGTTTGATAAATGAATTAGGTATTGACAATTCATTTGGAAACTCAACATATACCCTCACGACACTTACCAAAGAGGAAATCCTAGATAATCATAGGTCTGTTCTATGTTCCTTTGGAATTTCAACCAAAGATGAAGAACTGGATCTTCCATCACTGTATTGGATACATAAACTGCATAAGTGTCCTTACAAACAACGGTATATTGCTGGGTCTTCCAAGTGCTCCACGAAACCTCTTTCTAAATTATTAACATCTATTTTATCAGCAATCAAAGCCGGCCTCCAAAGTTATTTTGAAACTGCCTATTCTAGAGGTGGCGTGCATCAGATGTGGATACTAAAATATTCCAAAGATCTTTTAGAGTACATACAATCTAAGACTCTCTCATCTTGCAATAGTATTAAAACATTTGACTTTTCTACACTTTACACAAGTATTTACCATTCCAAACTAAAAGACAAATCAAAGGGTTGGTATTACTTTGTTTCATTAAAAAGAATGGCGAACGTAGATACAAGTCTCTTGGGGAGGGATAAATCCTACTTTGTAAAGAATCACTCTGATTCAAACAAAAAATTCTCTGAAACTGACATTATCAAGATGCTTGATATCTTGATTGACAACATATTTGTTACGTTTGGAAGATGTGTTTTACAACAGACTGTCGGAATTCCAATGGGAACCAATTGTGTCCCTCTTCTTGCCGACTTGTTTCTTTATTATTATGAGGCTGACTTCATACAAGAACTTCTTAGGAAGAAAGATAAGAAGTTAGCAATATCCTTTAACTTTACGTTCCGCTATATAGATGATGTTCTCTCACACTAAATAATACAAAATTTGGTGACTATGTTGAACGAATCTATCCCATCGAACTAGAGAT